TTGGCTACGACCTACAACAACATCGGTTTCGTGCGGCACAAGATGGGGCAGTATCCGATGGCACTCGAGTTCTATGAAAAGACACTTGATATCGGTCAAAAATCTCTGCTTCCGAATCAGCCCGATTTTGCTGCCATCTACAGCAACATTGGTCGTCTGCAGGTTTCGATGGGAGGGTACTCAATTGCACTCGAGTTCCATCAAAAGGCACTTGAAACTAGACAAAAGTCTCTCCCTCTGAATCACGCCGATTTGGCTACCACCTACAACAACATCGGCGTCGTGCGTGAGAAGATGGGAGAGTACTTGATTGCACTCGAGTTCTATCAGAAGACACTTGAAAGCCAAGAAAAGTGTCTACCGCCAATCACCCCGATTTTGCTACTACTTACAATAACTTTGGTCTTGTGCATGACAAGATGGGAGAGTACGCAAGCGCAGTCGAGTTCTGTCAAAAGGCGCTTGAAATTAGACAAAGGTCGGGGCGGAACGACCATCCAGATTCTGCTATGACGTACAGCAATCTAGGCAGAGTGCATCGATCGATGAAAGACTACTCTGTTGCGCTCTCTTATTTTCAAAAGACGCTTGATATCCAGAGTATAGTCTCTCAAAGACACCCGTGGTTAGCTATCACGTATAGTAACATCGGTGATGTACATCGGTTGACTGGAGACTACTCGACGGCACTCCGGTTTCATCAAAAAGCACTCGATATTCAAGAGCAGGTTGTTTGTGATCGAACAGATTTGGCTACCACTTATAGTAATATCGGCGAAGTGCTTCGGGAGAAGAATGAATATTCATCTTCTCTCGTATTCCATAAGAAAACACTGAAAATCCGCGATAAAACCCTTCCTCCGAATCATCCAGATTTGGCTCAGACTTTCCACAACATGGCAAGAGTATCCGAAGGTCTCAAGCGATACGATGAGGCCTTTGAATATGCCGAGCGTGCCGTCGAGATTGTTCATCAATCTTTAACATCGAACCACCCTGAAGCAGTGATGTTTCGACAAACTCTAGATAGACTACATCAGAAAAAGTGATGTGTTTCCGCATGAACCTCAGTGATGTTGTTTCTTCCCTTGACGTTAGTCAGGGTTATATAACCTAAGATATTTGTATGTGCACACGGAGAAATCAAAAGCTTAATAACTCTTGAGAGAATAGGGTGATAGAGAATTTCAAGCTCTATCAGAATATGTAATTGTTTTTTTGAAAAGGTAATTCTATAGTGAGGAAAAATTGATGACAGTGGCAAAATGAAGTCTGTGGGAATCTGACATGAGGGTGGCTTTATTCCACTTGATTAATTGGCGCCGAGGAGTTGACGTATTAGTGGTATGTAGTGCAAAATAAAAGTGTCGCAATCATTTTGACCTACCCGGTATGATACATACCACTAATACGTCAATTAATCGAACACTACCCAAAAAATTTCTCGAACTTAAGAAACTTAACTCGTCCTAAAAACTGCACTTTTATCGGTTGTGGAATCTGTTTATTTTTTCTCTGCATTAATCAAGTATGATTATCGTCGTTTTCATAATAATCCATCCATTTTCCAATATTCACCAATTTTAATAGCAAGTTTTCATATTCGTCTGGGGGATGACTGCTACTGTAGTATCAGTAACCACTACAAAAAATAGGAGAATTTTGTTGAGATGTTTCGCCTGACAGAAAAACGACTTATACTTACTTATTTGGTTTATCTCTAATTTCAAACACCATTAATTCACTTTTCACATTAATAATCAAGCCGTTATCTTTTGTTGCCTGCATTCCTTCTGCACTAACTAATTTCTCAATGTAAAGTTTTTCAATTTGTTTTCCACTTGACACTCGATAAACATAAAGAAAACATTTCAGTTTATCAATTAAAAATAAATAATCACCACCATTTTCACTTAAACACATATAATTACATTTGGCTTCCTCTTTCAATCGTACCGTACCCTTCAAATTTTCACACAAATCATAGGTGAGCAAACTATGTTTTTCTAACGAATATATGACCAATCGATTACCACTACCATCACCACTAGCCGTTGTCCACAATACTGATCTACCAAGTGAAATCAATTTTTTGGATGGTTTATTTCTATTCCATAAGCAAATTTCATAGTTTTCGTAGAATACTAATACGGGAGCATCCCTACAGATTGTCCGGTAATAATCGATCTTTTTAGAGGACCCTCCCACCTGTTCGTTTTTATCCAGTTCCCTCTCTCCCTAAACGTGCGGTAAATTTTTTTAAGAACACAGATTCAAGAGTATATAACTCTTCAAAAAACACGTTTCTCGTGGAACTACGCGAGGAGTATTACAATAGTCGCGTTGTTTTGAGATGGAAATCATCACTTGCTTGGGAGAGTAAAGTGTAGCTATGAACACTAATAGGCGTTAAGTTGTTTTCAACTTCTGCATGCGTTCAGAAATAAGTTTTAGGCACCACCAACTTGAGCACCAAATCCGAAATTTGTCCCGCAGTTCAGAACTGCTGCATTACGAATCATACTGCTGTCAATTATCGAAGAGTATCATAAATCTCCGTTATGTTGTAGTGTGAAATAGTCTAGTGCTATTAGCTTTGATCTTACGCTCCTCCCCGAAATTTCAATATCAAGCAAAAGTTTATCATTGGCTTATCCATGGAATATCTGACGGCCATTTTTGCACGCACAGACAGACAGTCAACCTTTTTGCAAGGTCCTAGACTAAAGTCAAGGGAATGAATAGTGAAGTCCTAAGGGATAAAAACTGTGTGGTTTTTAATTGTCGTACATTCTTCATCCATAATTCATCATCACGTGACGAATGGACACCCATTTTGCTCCCGCTTGTCCCACTAATCCTTAATAACATTGCTGCCTAGCTAGATAAATAAAAATAAACTACAAAATTGACACAAAGATTAAATAACCTCGAAATGTTTATTTTCTACATCTTTCAAACATTCAAACGACGATATTTATTTATTTTCCAGAAATAGACATTATTTTCATTTATTTTAGATTGTAAGATGGCGACATTATTTGAGAATTGTAGTGATGAAATCTTCATGCTTATTTTTGAGTATTTGGATGTTTGTCGACTTCATAACTCATTTCGAAATATCAATACGCGTTTAAATAAGATATTAGACGATAAACGACTTCAGTTGATGTTCGATTCTCGTGGAACACAGTTTATCAATCCATTCGTGCGTGATCAAATTGTATCCATGATATTAGACGATAATGGTAAAGCAACGTTTGTCAATGAAAATTTCATTTCAATCCAATCTGTAACTCTGTATGTTAAAGATTACACAACTGAATTTATTTCAAAATTAAAAAGTTTAACAACCATAACACAGTTAATAATACATACAGCTGAACATCATGCGAACAATATAATTGAAATGATTCTATGTCAAAATATGCTGCCACAATTAAAAATATTAATAGTAACAGAATCTTGTTTGATACGTAATAACATATCTTCAACAGCCGCAATAAATAATCTTGTATATTTAATAATTACTTGTACGTGGCATGATTTATCGGCTATACTTGAACATTCACCAAAATTAAAATATGTAAACATCTCTCTCCTCGGTGGAAATAGATTGACAAAGTTCATCTTCCCAACAATAAAATATCTTACTGTTAATATCAGTAGCACGTACTATAATGAATTATTTCACATGTTAAAAACCATGCCTAATTTAAAAATGTTTGAGTTGACAGGTCACTCTTGTGATGATGCATTGTCCGATGGAGAAAAACTACGCGAATTAATTTTATCATCATCTAGTAGATTTAAATTAAACATTCAATTATTTGTAAATTTATTCATCAAAAATGTATTATCAACATTTAGGGACGAATATTGGTGCAATATTCAATGTAAACTATGTATGGGTTTCATCAAATTATCAGCTATTAGTAAATAAAATCTTGGATATACTTTTCTATAATTTTTAGGGGTAACACGTTTTACTATTATGGTGCAAAGTAATTGTAATAATTAGCCATTACTCTTGCTGAGTAATAGATAAAAGCTATGATGTTTTTCTTTCGTGCGTGTTAAGCGATTAAAATAGATAATTTTCTTTTTCTTGTGTATCATCGCGACTAGATATAACAATATCGCTTTTAATTAGAGCCTCGATCTTTTAATTAAAATTTGTTACCTCTTTTGAACTCATCATTTTGGATATGCTTAGTTTATTATCTCGTTTGGGGATAATGCAGACATACAAAATGAACTGTTTCAGACCTTTTAACTTCTATAGCTTTCCCACTACCAGAGTATTTTTTGAAACTAGATATATCATCAATCGTAAACGTATAAGGATCTGAAAATTGAATGAAACAGTGATTAGTACAGTATAATCTTATAATTCCAGTAGCTAGAGATAAAAAAACTTAACTTTCATCATTCCTTTATCGCCGGAAAACGTTACATATGATTTTTTTTCACAAGATTTTCATCAAAATCGGCAAATACTTGACTTCGAATAGCAGTAAGATGACAAATAGAATCGATGTTTAAAGTTTCAAAATAAGTTAACAACATACCCAAATAATATCGGCTAATAAAACTTTAATATTATGTTTATGACAATAATCAGGAATGGGAACTTATTCATTACGCTTTATGTTGATAAGTACAAATAGCTGGAAAAAAAGACAAATGGTTTTCAATGAAAACTCGTTATTGGTAACCGCTTTTGACTTCAATATTGATTTTTTCAATAGTTTCAAAATATAGTGCAGAAATTATGCATATTTTAATTTCGAAAGGGGCACACGTTTTGAGACTTTTTATGTTCTTCGGTCATCATTATAATCTATCTGTTACATTTTCTTTCGAAACAAAGAAAATAAAGAAAGATCATAAATCTTGGATTGTTATACTTATGTTGCAACTTTCGACTAACATATAATTTCTGCTATTGATATTAGAAATATTTTTGATGAACTCGACTTTCTAATGATGAAAAAATATTCTCAACGCTTTATTCACCCATTTACATTAATTTTATTTAGCTGTAAATATCGTTGATGAATTCTTCTATTGAATATATCTAACTTCAGCATAACTGTTTTATTCGGCTAACTTTAAATGTGAAGCTTCAACTCTATTTTTTTCCAACATCATCTTCAGTGAAAAAATACTATAACGAAAAAGGAAAGAAAATTAATTTTAAATAATTAAGTCCTATCTATTTCAAAATAAAGTAATCATGGCTGTTTTGGGGATAATATATGAACGAAAAGCGCTAGAAAAAAAGCATGTGAGTGATTTTCGCTGCTTAAAAGAGGAGACCAAGGTACATACTTTCCTAGGCAAAACAAATTTTGTAATCTTTTCTGGAAGCAAGGCTTCGACAGGATCTTTAGAAAACTAGTATATTTCCCCAAAAAGTAAAGTAACAATTTTTACATGAATGAATATAGTCAGCCGCTGCTTATCCACAACCAATCCTTTCAGAAAGTAATGCTGCGTAAGCTCATCGAGCTATCGCTAATGTCTAATCTTTCGTGGGATACGCATGTTGACGAAATGTTTGACAAAGTTAACCGTACCCACAACTGTATAAAAATTATAAAATGGAATATCAGCTGCTCAGCATTTGACATTACATATAACAATTTTATTTTGATTGCAATGAACTTCGCTAGCGAAATTTATTCAGTAACATCTGAAAAAATCTAGACAAGCTGCAACCTGGTAAGCATTGGCTTGCTCTAACTGTCACAGGCATCATGAACGGTAAACTGCTTACTGATCTGGGATTGGTTTCCATCAAAGATATTTTTACCTTATATCGCTTGTAAATGTCTTTTAAAATAAAGCATAGTTAGTACCCATGCATGGCAAAGATAAAAAACTTATTCATGCGATGTCACATAATCCTCATCATTATCTCCGTAATATCACTGGAAAGAAAACATATAATAATAGTGATAAAAGCTCGACATTTCAACTTCCTTGTATCCAACTGTGATTCGGCAATGGAATGAACTTACAGTGCCGTCACCTTCATTATGCATTGAAAAGAAGTCATCTATTTTAGGAAAGTATTAAAAGAGAGTTTCACTATTAATCATGAAAGTACCACTAATAGCTACTTGACGCATCGAAGCCACTCATTGCCATCTCAGAGTAGTTTTTCCTGCTCTAAACTCCTATCTTCATCAAAGCGAATGTGTTCCATCTTCTTGCTCTACTGCATATCGCTCTAATCTTCTATAATTGTAAAATAAGACACCAACCACTGTTTCTTTGAATGTCCAAATTACACAGTATACAGGAACACTTCCCCTATTGCGATCATTAGTCAATAAAAACAATACTTCAAATATATATGAACTCCATTTTTAAAAATATAGTGCTTGCTTTGCCTTCTCTGCTTCTGGATTCTGTATAAACTTATCCTCTCTGGCGATGCCATCACCAGGTAGCACCTGACTAAGCCGTGCTTACTGTTACCCTTTTTCACTAAATGCCAAATGCTCTGATTTGTTCCTTATTTCTTTTTCTTTCTCAAATAAAGTTTATATATAAAACTTTCCTCGGTCTAATAAAGTATCATGATATGTAGTATTGATTCATATTATGCATAAACTGATGTTTTAAAATATTAACACATTTGACGACCTTTACCAGGAATTGTTTTCAGAAAATTGACTGAAATTGACGATTATCATGTAAACGAATATAATGCCCTGACTGCAAACGCTTTATCTGTTTGAAATTCAAGATTATCGTTTCTTTCGATAATAGTATTATAATAAAGAGATAAACGAGTCGAGTTACAACAGATAATAATGGTGGATGAGGATGATGGGATATGAGATTAAAGAAGTAGAGTTACAGTGAATAACGACATAATTTTTTACACTAAAGCTGATACTTGAAATTGAAACATTTGAAAAAACAACGGCAAGATGAAGCAAAGACGTTTACGTATTTTTAGTAGTGATGAAACTCAAAGTGAAAATACGAATGCTGACTCGCAATCAAATTAGCCGTACAGCAAGACTAAAATGCAGCAAGTGAGAGAGAAAGAGTCAGTTGAAAATTTAGAAATAAAGGGCAGAGTTTTCCTTATAGCTCAGCCTGTCATTGAAATGACTGTTGTCGCATTTTTCCAGAAAAGTTCAACAAAACCTTTAAATGACACACTTTGGTGCGCCTTTGAAGTGTAATGATTTGAAGAAGAAAGGCCGAATGTCGTTCTGCGTCTTTGTTGTCGTCGTTAGGAAGATTTCGTTCTGCTTCACAGCCAAGACTCTGAGTTTGTTTTTGGCCAACGTTATCGTAAACTACCGACGACAATTGAAACATATTTCAAGTATGTTCTTGTTCATATATATTCTCAGTGTCAGAAACGGACCTTCACCTCTTCACATTAGAACATACATGTTTTACAACATACTCTGCTTTTTCACAACCAAATGAAGCTATAGTCCCCTCCGTTATGTTTATGTATGCACAGTATTAAACGATATTAATTTATTAAAATTAAACGATATTGATATTAATGGATCATATTTCAGGCAAAACAAAAATATTTGATTTTTTTAACTTAAATAAGAACAGAGACGTCATGCCCTTTGTATAAAATATATAGCAATAAAGTATCAAATATTTTAAAGGATGTGGGAAGATAAAAGCATATTTTCTGTCCCAAAAATGTTCAAGAAAAAATTATATGGTTAGGATCAGCATCAAATTCTAAACAAAATGCCTCATTTAGTTTTTCAAAATATGGACTTTCATTTTTTTCGAAAACTTTGCATCCCTACACTCTCCTTGGAACATTGAAAAATTTATTTCTCAGGTGTTTCTGAGACACACATCACTCGATGCAGAATTTCATGCTGATTGCGAATGTCGACTTTGTTTTGTAAAAAAACAAATACTTGGTATCAAGTAGCAACACATATTTCTCACTTGTATATGTTTTGCTCAGCGACTCTTTTCTATGGGATACGTCAAATACTTGGTGTTGCATAGTGATAGATATATTTCTCATTTCTATATGTTTTACTCAGCGATATCTTCCGCTTTTTGATTTCTCATACAAACATAAACATCATTCTTTTCTATGGATGCGACCAATACTTGGCATTGTTTAGCGCTCAACATGATTCTCATTCATATATGTTTTGATAAGCTAGATCGTTGATTTTTGAGACAAAGATAAACATCATTCTTTTCTACGGGATTCTCGAAATAGTTCGCAGTACTTAGCGACAGACATATTTCTCATTTGTACTTAGTGATCGACAAAATAGTAAAAATTAAATATTTTTAATGTAGGAAAACTTAATTTAGATCTTTACCAATTTTGATCTGCGCTTTTTGAAACGACAAATGCTAGTTGATATGTGCTCTATCTTTTTCTAGACGAAAACTTCGCTTAATTCAAGTCAAAAAAAGTTACTGTTTAGCGAATTCATTTTTGGAAAATCATGATTTGAGTAATTTTAATATTTTTCCCATCAGAAACAGAAAAAAATGGATTTTTCAGTTACTTAGTGCTAACTGTAACGTTCCTTTCCGGGAAAAAATCAACTTCTTCAAACATTTTATGTAAAAGTTAACTCTTAGAAGAAACAGAAAACGTTTTTTCAAAATAAAAGCTGAACATTTAGAATAGGCGAGAGAGTCTTCTTACTACAAACGTTCGAAATGAAATCTGACGAGTTTTTGAAGTCAAGAGAATAATTCGTCTCGCAACATTGTTATTCACTACACACTATTTCGAGCTCTCATTTTTCTGTAGATGATATGTTTTTACTTCCTTTTATTTTCCGTTTTTGAGAATTTTATTACCTTTTACCTCTACCTGAGTAGGTAAATAGTTACTTCTTATCTGTATCAAAGAAAAGAAATAAAGGCAATATTACTCTGACAGTTGGAAAAACAAGCGTGCTG